ACCAATTACTTGTTAAAGTTTGTACAATCAGTGGGATCAGTTGCAATGCATATATGTGAATGATAAAAGTAAATTGCACATTTGTCGAAGGAAATGTAAGGTGCTTCATGAAATGTTTTGTAAAAGATATGTTCATTAAATTTCAACATTTTCCTAATGTTCTTGTGCTTCTTTATACCAAAACAAAGGAAAGACATATTGTTTTGGTTATTTATAGCAAAGTATTGTATCATTTTAATGGTCCGGCCCACTTGACATCTACCGAGGCCGTATGTGGCCCACCATGTGAAATGAGTTTGACACCCCTGGTATAGGGTATCGAAATCGATTCTTATTCTAATATTTGTACTGTTGGCTGCATAACCTGTGCAACATCCGGCAAGGCCCATGTTACAATGTGCACCTTTTGTCCCACAATGGAATTCAAATCCGCATAGAAATTAATCGGTACATGGGTTACATTGCAATCATTTTTATCTATTTTTCACATTTTCCTGAGAGAAGGTGAATACCTTTTTATATGAGCAAAATGGTGCTAGTTGATGAATGCACAAAAAAGCTTGAGCTGTTTTAGGATAGTAAATTTATAGGAAATGACACATGAAGGTCAATACACGATGTCTAATTTTCAACCTTTATACATTTTGGATGTACAAAATGAAATGCCCTCTCTCTTTTTAAGCAAAAGGTATGAATAAAACATTTTCTAATTGAATTATTTTCATTCCAGTCTTGTCTTGTTTCATCCTCTGCAGAGTGGGCTGATATCGACGATCACATTGTCGCCAAAATCTAAATCTAACAATTTGTCCAAGATGACACTTGGCCCTCCGAGGTAAGACATGAGGCGGATGCATCCAAAAACACTAGAACTCCTTCTCAAAAGCCCGGTTACATCTGATTCACAACTCTATCTTGACGTGCAGAATCTGTCGTTGCAAAATCAAAGCCATAAATCATGGCAGCATTTCTGTGAAAAGTGGGGGCATGCAAATGGACATGCCAGCCTGAAGTTTTTCAAGCTGTGCCAGTGTAAATCACAGCTTGTCTAGACAGCTGAGACTGGAGGCTGTCCCAGGTTAGGTTCTGTAGTTCAGTCTGTAGCATACCACCGTGTCCCTTTCAAATTATATAACTAAATCACTCTTCACTTGAAGTTCACCCCTGACATGCTGTGATAGACAGTACAGAAAATCACATCATGGTTATCAGTATCAATCTGTATCTTGTACAGTTTGAGTCATCTTGGAATTGAAAGCAATTCAGCTTGATCCTGAATTTATTTACTTAGAGAGCCAAATGAAATGTCTCTTTCCCTCAGTATCAACACAGATGGTGGTTTAGCTACATTCCTCTCTGAAAGTATTATAACAATGAGTACCACTGCCCAAAAATCGGTCATGGCCAAAGCAGCCAATTGGAATGCTCTGAAGAAGAAAGAAAGCCCCGGTGTACAAGATAAGGGACAGTTGACGACAAACATTTTTAGAGCTGTGGCGACCTGCGATAGCCAATCTCAGGATTTCAGAAGTGAAGGTTTCACAATCTACCATGGAAGACTTGACATGAACACAAGTAAAACTGACGGCAAACGATGCGACCATTCATGAAAAAGAACAGAAATGCCAGGCTGAAATTTAGACAAGCCTCAAAACAGTTTTATGAACTGATGATAGAAAGATTAAGCTTTAACAAAGTGATAAGATTAACCTTTTATCAAAGTGATATAAAGACTAACATTTGGAGGAAGAAAGAATCTGCTTATGATCCCAAACGTACCAGCTTACCTGTGAAACACAAAGCAGTTTTGAGCTGAACACACCTGTGAAATTTTGTCAGTATACCCCGAGAATTACAGTGTACTTTTCTCCCTATTTTTTAAAATCTCACAGAACTCTGCCTGTTTTATCTTCAGGGCCAATGTAGAGTATGTCTTTTATTTTGATGACGAGCAGGTCAGAGCTCTAGGGGACTGTGACAAGGCAAGAGATTTCTGCTTGTGGGAACAAAAAGTGTGAGGAAAAAGACATTAAAAGCAGATGGTATCCAGGTATATATTTGTTTGTGTGTGGAGGCCAATAATGGAGGCAGACCTAATCACTAAGACAACAAAATAGATTTGTCAATTAGTATAGCAGATCTGTGCTTTCAGTGCAAAAGCCCACAAGACTGTCATGTGGAGAAGCAAGACGCACCTGACTACTACATCTACTACTGCATTGGTTTCATAGACACCTTTTCCAGATTTTCAAAAATGCAAAGAAACCATTGAACAGGAACACTGATGAATTGGATATAGCGTGTTAAAGACAAACGTCAGTGGCCCTTTTGGTCCTTTTTTTCTTTTCCCTCGATATGCTGCCCTTGAAAGAAAATATGTAGACGCCCCTGCTCTACGTCAGAAGAATTCCGTAGCTACTAATTCAATTGATGCACATTAGCCAACATTACATCATCGATGAAATGCATATTGGAATTTCAAACCCATTAGTGTTACGGTTTCTCTCATCATTTTTTAATTAATGTGTACATGC